CAAGTGACAGGGATTAAACTGCTGAGCAGCAGCAGCAGGACAAGCCAAGGGATCCTCCTTGGTCCACATCCCTCCTCTGCCACAAAGCCACTGTGACAAGCACATGGGGACTTAGGTAAGGTCTCTCAGCCATGGAAGAAACAGCTACCTAGTAACATGCAAAAGAAAGAACCATAATAGATTAAACAGGTATCTGAAGTATGAGTTCAAATAACGCTTTGATAAACAGTATTAACATCTATAAAAATCATACTAAGCTTCATAAATAATTGTAATGTGCTATAAGTTCTCTGTAAAACCCCTCCAGCCAGGTATGCTACAGAAATTTAAGCACAGAATTTTTTATGAAAACATCAAATATTCATTCTTCAAATGAATGGCCATTTCAACTATGTAATAAAGTGAAAAAATGGTACTGATTTTTCACGTCAACACCTTGGTTTCAAAACAAACTCGGATCCATTTCTTTTCTCTGTGTTAATCTGTGCTACTTGTTGAAAGACTGAATTGCAGACACATCTTAGGCAAGATTGTCTTAGGCTTTTTTTTGTTCCTGGAAATCCCTTTGCTGCCACAGTAATGCTAGACTCTTGAAGAACATGTTGCTACTCCTCCTTCACAGACTAGGAGTTCCTATTTGCATATTTTCTCTTGGGATGTTTGCACTGTTGATCAGAGGTGAATCCAATACAGTGAGCATCAGGTGCTAATCATCACACACAATTTCCACACTATTTTATAATATGCCCCCTTACACCCTGTCATGCACAACATCCTTAAGAGAATCCCAGCAGCAGCTTCCCCTCCCCACTCCCAAAATAAGGAACCATAGGTTCTCCAATCCTTTCAAGGAAGCCAAAAGGCTTCCTTAAATTCACACTTAACCTTCCTGTGGTTCAGAGCTTCCACCTGCCTCAATCACCTCAGTCACAAAGGTGTCACCTAGCTTCTTCCATCAATCCTATACATCAATTCAGGTATAGCAAGTGAAAAATGCTATAAAATCCAAATTATCATTCTGGTATGGTTAAGGAGCTCCAACTTATTTCAATCTGCAGTTGAAGGTGAAAAACAACACACTATACAAAGACATGAAACAAGAAAAAATGATCCCTGCAAGCCCTAATGTCGGAATTAAAGAGAGAAGATTCCTTCAAAATAGTGAGGGCATGAGCAGCAGCTAAGTGATGTTTAAAGCTCTGATGCCAGCAGGCAACACCTCCACCTTGCTTCACATGTCTAACAAATTAAACATTGGTCAGATTCACCCTATGTGGAGGACCTGCAGAAAGACTGACTCTAAATCATATTTATTTCTCCAAGATGGGGGACACCTTATCCTTTTAGGTCCATAAATCACCAGGAGATATTTCTTGCTACTCACTGCTCAGTGGTCCAGTCACAGAGGTATGTGGAAGTGAGAAAACAGTTCTGCAGGACTCAGAGGTTTGTACAGGCACTACTCAGACCTATTCAGCTAGTTCTTAAACAGGCCTAATTTGTACTATCAACAAAAATAATATCAATATTTTGCAGCTTTGACTAGCCAGAATCATATGAAAGGCAAGGCCACTCTTAATACTTTATTAACACTGGCTTTATTTTTATTTAGACACAAATTTATTCACTTTATTTATTTATCTAGGTACTTTTAAGATACTCTTTGGTAACAACAGCGAAAGAGTGGGTTCACTACTGGTCTAACACAGCATGCCAAAAAAGATCACTGATGAAATCAGCAGCAGATAGTACCAGAGATTACTCCACTCATGTCTACTCTGCTCATGTCATGTGTAAGTCTCGCTGCCTTGTCTCATGTTTTCAGTGAACTGCAAGAGTGAATGGGGATCAGGAATAGCCACCAAAGCTCATTTTGTCCTGTTACCACAGCAAAGATGTACATACTCTATTACATACACATACCTAAGTGTTTACATGTGTAGGTATCTATACATACTTTTCTGCAAGATAAAAGTGAACACCACACAGTAGGCCTGTTTTGCAAAGGCAACATGCAGAAAACAAAATCAGTGGCAGACTTGAAAACACAAGAAATTGCAAAATATCACAGCCACTCTTTAAGCTCCTCCCTCTGTGCATTAAAATTAAAATGGAAGCTCCTTCTGAACTTTCTACTACTTCTTAATATGCAGATCAGCCCTGGTACTTTGTACAAATCATACAGTACTTCCCAGTACTTTCTTAGTGCTGCAAATACCTAGGTTGGCATACTTCCTTTTGATAAATGGTTTCTGATACTGACCAGGCTTCTATCACCCCAAAAGACAACCATAATATACCTTTTCTAGAGGTCTTACCACAGACCTGGGAACTTTGGTTAGCTGGGTAGTTGCCTGTCCCCTTGCTCCCCACCAGGTCTGACAAAGGCAGCATATCATGCTCCTTAATCATCTTCAAGAGATGGCACAATGTTCAAGAATTAATTATTTCTAGGTATAAATGAAGGAGGCTGACCATCTGAAAACAAACACATTACTGACTGAAGCCTAAGCATCTCTATTTGCACCTTAATTACTCAGCAGAAATGTGCTAAAGAGTTATCAGTCAGCTGAAGATGTCTTTCTCTAAGGACCTGCAGGACAAGCTGAAATACCTCTTAGAACTGTCAAGAGCAAAGGATTTATCTGCTTTTATGTGCATTTGTCAACTCATACTGCAGAAAATGTAGTCACAAGCTACAGTGTAAATTGATGATAATAGAGTATATTCAGTTCTTATGAAAGCTCAACCAGAAAATACCTATTTTTCTTCTGCCTAACCACCACTTCAACACATCAGTTTGGATCCCTTGTCTCACTAGAGGTCCACCAGAAAGCAGATGTCAGTACCTGCAGCAAACATCTCCAGGTGTAGATTCAGAAATCACAGAGCAGGGACTCAGATCAGACATTCAGTCAAAGCCCAGCATCTAATTCAGAAAACCTGTAAAAGAGATTTATTCCTGTGATCATTCTGAATAACCCATGAGCTACAGATGGGAAGGCCTCAGTCATGTTGTTAGAATATACCATTGATTTTTTTCAAATGGCTGGCTGCCTGCCTTACTGGAGCCTTGAAAGGAGAAGGAAATACCTGAAATCTAGTAACTGCTCCTGATTAGCAAGCTTCTTGAGTGAGCTCCACTAAAATTCTGTTTACTGAGATTTTGTCAATGCACAATAGGCCCATGTGGAATTTGCCTGCATCTTTACCCAAAAAACTTCCAGGTGTTTACACCCCTGATTGCTACTTCCAAGTTACTTCATGCATTAACTTCATACATTAATGGCAGCATTAGTTACAAAAAGAAAGTTATTCACTTAAGTATGGAACAGTTACAGCTACATTAGCACAATTTTAAACTTAAAACACCTTTATATATTCTTGTAGCTAGCAGGGAACAGGAAAACTCAAATTATTTTCACTTCTATAGACAGTTAAATTTTTTAATTAGTTTGGGAAAATATTTCATTTGAACATCTGCAGAAAGATATCCCTTTAATTTTAAAGTATTTTAGTCTCCTGATATCATAAAAAGCAAATTTCTTGGCTACCAAAGAAAGCATTATTTTTGTGGTTTACTCTTAATAAGTACCTTCTCCACTTACAGCAAAAAGCGTCCCCTGTCACCTGGGCAGCAGCTCAGACCTGTGGCAGTGCCCTGTAGCTGCGGTGGCACATCCAGCACCAGGCTGGCTCACCACAGCTGTGTGTTTGAGTGGCTTCTCAGGAAGAGTCCTCTGCAAAATCACTCACAGCATCACAGCCAGAGCAAACAAAGTCATCCCATTAATCCGATTGTTAACAGGCAGTAATAAAAACACAGCAAAAGCAGAATATGGCAACACAAAGTATTTGTGTAACCTACCACCACTTACAGATTAGCAATTTCAGAACTTTATTTGAGGGAATACAGAGAATGGTGCTCATCAGTTTGAAAAGCTGAAAATTGATTAATGAGCCTGTGATATTTACATTCTTCATTCTGTAAAGAAAAATAATTTTTAAAATCCAATGCAATAATGTAAGAAGACGCTTTTCCGTAAAGTTGCCCATCTGTTGAAACTGACATTATTCCAAACACTGTTTTCAATCAACCAACCTGGCTTTCTTTCTGAGGGATGCTTGGCAACTATAAAAAGTATTTTTTCTTTTTGGCTTTTCATGTGTATAATTTTATTTCCATGTTATAACATCACATCACTCCCTTAAATACATCACACTGTTCTAGATCCACAGTTACTACTAAACCACTGTAAAGTCTCTTCTCTTGCATTACTCAATCCATCCAGAAGTTCTGAAATAACACGAGTGGGTTTTTAAAATTGTTTAGAGTAAACTTTACCTTTATGGCTGTGTTTGTGTCATACCTATTTATACTTTTCAATGAGAAAAACCAGATATTTACAAACTACAAACTTTTATTGACTACAGACCTTTGCTACAGCAAAATACATCACTTCCTGAGTATACTCAGGAGGAAAACCATCTAATCGGGGATGGTAACAACGTAATTGCTCGTCTGTTGTTATTTGTGAGTCTCGGATTCAGCGAGGTACGGGCGGCACTCACCTCCTCTGCCCTCCGGTCACAGAGCTGGCACACGAGAGTTTGCCATGCTGCCTACAGCCCTGCAACCCACCGCGGGCACCGCCACACCGCCTCTGCAGCCGGGCACAACCGGAGCCCGAACCACGGGCAGAAATCAGCTCCAGCCCGATTAAACACAACTCTTTCGGGGGAGGAGTAACCGAGGGAAACTGAAAAGCAGGAAGCTGATCTCGGGAGCGCGGACGGGGCGGAGCAGAGGCACGGGGCGAGGAGAAGCGGAGCGAAGACTCGATGATTATACAGCATGCCTTTGGCAGCACGGCGTTGCTGAAATTCCAGCGCCGGGGCTGGCACGGACGGCGGCACCCCCGGCCCAGCGGGGCACGGGCCGCAGCACCCCCGGCCCAGCGGGGCACCCCCGGCCCAGCGGGGCACGGACCCACGGCGGCAGCCCCGGCCCAGCGGGGCACGGACGGCGGCACCCCCGGCCCAGCGGGGCACGGACCCACGGCGGCAGCCCCGGCCCAGCGGGGCACGGACGGCGGCACCCCCGGCCCAGCGGGGCACGGACCCACGGCGGCAGCCCCGGCCCAGCGGGGCACGGACCCGCGGCCCGCGCTGAGGGCAAGCGGCCCTCAGCGCCCGCCCTGCTGCCGCCACAGCCGCTGCCCTGCTCTCCACAGCCGCTTCCCTGCTCGCCACAGCCGCTGCCCTGCTTCGCTGCCTGCTTCCCTGCCTGCCACAGCCTCTTCCCTGACTCTTCCCTCGCCACAGCCGCTTCCCGGCCGGCCACGGCTTTTTCCCCGCTCGCCCCGCCCGCCACCACGCGTGAGGCGGTTTGAAACCCCTCACGGGACGGACACAAGGCTCTGCTCCGCAGCTGCGGGAACTCCTCCGGCGTGCTGCAAGCAACAGATGATGTACGGCAGCTCCTCAAAGACTGACCGAACTTCTTCTGATGGAGTTTAACAGGAAAAAAACGGGGGGATTCTTTAGGAAAACAGCTTCGAGAAGTGAGAGGCTTTTCATTTTAAAACCGACTCAAGCAGGGCTTAAGCTCGACAACAGCATCCCGCACGCTGTAAGAGCTTTCCCCACCTGCACGGGGCTCCTGCCTGTGCCAGAGCCGGGCTCCTTCTGCCGCTTGCCCGTCCCACACCTTCCTCAGCTGCTTTGTGTCATTAGCACATCCCACAGAAAACACTGATATACGGCATTCCAAATAAACGTGAGCTTGGAGAACAAAAGCCAAAAAACCCACAAGGGAGGGTGGACTGACTACCTCGAGCATCATCAGGCAGTGTTTCAAGGTAGTAATTTAAATTCGTAACAGGAAACAGGATGGCAATGGATGTTAGTAACACTAGCACAGCGAGGATCTGATCTGCTCTTCTCAGCCAAAAGGAGACAATCCCCATGCATTTATCGAAATGAGGCTGTGGAGGTAAGTAGGGACACTGCATGGTTTTTACACTTGTCTTGCCCTCTTTCAGGTCTCAATGTTTTGTCCTATTAGCTCTGTATAGCAAGGTGCAGGGTGTTTTGTACTGGTGGGTACAGAGTAGATACAGGGCCAAAATAAAACAGGAAATCAGTTTAAGTGGAGTTCTTACACTTAAAAAAAAATCCCATCTCACGTCCTCTACATTATACTGACAGGAGAACAGAAAACAGAGGCAAGGTGGCCAACCAATTTTATTTTTACCACTTCTTTCATATATTTTCTCCTGTCTGCTCAGTAAAGGAACCTGTAGCAGGTCTAACTCCCATTTGGAAGATTCCGTTCCAGATTATGAAACTCAGCAACTTCTAAGAAAGCATTTAATGACTCCTTTTAAATTCACTGTGGCTTGTTCACTTTTGGACACTGTTTCAAAGTATGTCCTATCGTCAGTCTGCAGACAATCCAGACTGAGCTAGAACCACAATCACACCTCTCTCCAAAGCCTGTGGCCTTCATTTCCAGGAGTGGACAGACAGAAGCCATGCCTTTGTCCCAAGGCTCCCCAGTTCCCAGCCTGCCTGTGTGACTGCAGTTGCATGGATCCCTCAGGCTGTAAGCTGAAGGTCACTGATGCAGACACACATCCCCATCACAGCTCCTCCGACGGAGCAGGCAGCTCCCACCGAGAGGATGCAAAGCCTCATTGCAGCAGGACCTGCAGGTGCTGCAGCAACATCACAAAGGCAGCCTAAATCTCAGCATGCAGGCTAGGCTAGCCAGAGTTTGAGCAGCAACACACCACATCCTATCCCCCTTAATATCAATGCCACTCCTGCACTAGTGTCCCTGTAGCTTGGCAGCTTTAACCCTTGTCAGTCATAAACTGAGACACTAGTTTTAGTCTCACCAGTACTTAATGATTCTTTTTGGGGCAAACTATTAGCACTGGAGAGATATACAGCTGCTTCTTTACTGTGGAAACATATGTCTTAAAGCCAGAACCGTATCAAAATTGCAAATTGATTTACACACAGAGCTGAACAGATTTAATGAGCATTTGAACCAAGAAGCCACAAAACCTGCATGGAATATCATGCTGCAGTGATACGTGGACCAACAGCAGAGAAAGTGAAAATACAGGTAAGAGCTCTTAATCATAAATAACTTAAGAGAAACAGCAAAGATACTCCCAAAGCTTTTCTGATACAATTATTATTAAATGAATACCTGGGCTTCTCTTCAAATCAAAACCAACAATTGTACTGCATTACTCACAGCTCTGGGAGTCCACAACTCCTGAGATAAATGAGCTCATAAGCCCACCACCAATCTCAGGGTTATTCTGTGTATTTCAGAGAAGCTGTTTCCTATCTGCTTGAGTGCTGTTTTCCCCCTGCTTCTCAATTTGATACTCAGTTTTGAAAGGGCACTTCTTAGTCCTCATCAATACTGGACAGGTATTGCTACAGTGCACAGCAAAGCCTCCTTCCTCCCCTCTCTACTTCTTCACTTCAGGTACACCTGAGAGTATTTCACTAGATATAGAAAAACAGTCTTTGGCACTCCTGACATGACAGACAAGGACAATTTATTTCAGCAACATCAAAAACAGGAACAGAAAGCAGAAACAAGAAGCATTTTTTTTTGTCCTTAGAAGAAATACTTCTAATAGGAAATAAATATAATTGACCATTGTTATGAGGTTAACTAACAAATCACTTAAAGCATATCTTTAACAACTAAGGTACATATTAAATCTATCTTGACTTGGTAACAAAATAAAACTTTCTCTTATCTTTTTAAGTAACCTGCTATTATTTATTTTGCAAATTACTTTAAACTATTCTGAACGATCCTCCTCTACCAGCCAAAACACTTCAGGTTTTTTGTTATTAAAGGCACTTCATCCTTAAGATGACAGGTCATAACAAGAAAAAGCTAAAGGCTAAAGTATGGCATTGTTTTCAGTACAAAAAGCTCAATTTCTTTAACCCTGCCTTTCTACGCAAGAAACTTCCTTGAGAAACAAGAGTAGCATCTGCTTGTACTTCAAATAATTACTCTCTGCTCATTTGTCTCTACTAAGTCTCCTTGACTGAGGTCAAGAAAAGAACAAGTACATTTAAAAATCAAAGTTTACCATTTCAGTAGGATTTCACAGCCAGAACTGTTCAAGTCATGTTATGTCACCATTCTTTTCAAAGCAAAACAGTTTGTGCTTAACACTACCAAGCAGTCAGACTTCTGTCACTATCTTTGCTGAGTAGTGTCATTACCCTGTCCAGAGGTCTCCCACTGCAGCACAGATACAGCACAGATACATGGGCAGCTTTTAACACTGCACTCATTGCTTCCTACAGGTCTGCACAAGGAACTAAGAAGATGAGTCTGTTGGTAGGCTTACACTCATTCTTTCAGGCACTCACATCATCTACAGGACAATGTTTTAATGTCTTTAAAGTAATTTTGGAAAAACTACCTCACAAGAAGGCATAAGGAAGGAAGTAGCAAGCAGTAGTAGTGTGGGTATGAACACACTTAGATGTCCAAGCACTTTCAGTCAAGCAGTTACTGCTTTAAAACTAACTTGATGTTTTGTATTGCTTAAACTACCGTTGTCAAAATAAATGTCCATGTGACAATTTCTCACCTCTCATTCCCTACATTAATGGTAGGTGGAGATGAGGCACCCAACTGTCTCCATATTTATTTAAAACAAGCCAAGCCAGAGGTAGTTTGATCACTCATTTACTCACTCCATCAGTTTATCTATCTTGTCCTGAACTGACGTGACATGATAACTTCTCCTGGCTTGTTGCTCAGGTACTTTATGAGCACTAAAATCACTTAGTAAGTGACCAGGATGGAGAAGATCTGGTCAAAGAAGACAGAAAAAGTAAGATTAATCTTGCCTGGGTGAATGCCTTCCCCTACTATATAGCAAGGAAATACAGCAGATCACACCTGTGTTGTGAGCCAGCAAACAAGGAAATTAATGAAACAAACATATCTTAAGAGTATGCTTAAAACACTCCAAAATTTGACCTGAAAGTGACTATCAGTGAAGGCATCCAAACAATTCTCCAATCAAATCTGCAATTTCAGTCTACTTCTGTAACCCCACCTCCAGTAAAATTCAGACCTGAACTGAGCTCACATATATAGAGTATTGCAGCAATACTAATAAAGTAGCATCTCTATTGAAGCTCCACATTTTATTCCAACTCCATGAATAAAGACAATTTTAATTGCCAAATCTGAAAAAAGTCACGATTCACCTCAAAACAGATGCAATCTCCCAATCCAATGCTTATATAACGCTGCAATACCACACAATTAATGTAACACTAAACAGACACATGAACTGATAAAACACTCCAGAAAACATTGACAATCTGTGTATTCAGAAATAGCAGAATCACCATTTTTATGATTCCTGGATCTCAGCACTTCTTAGACGTTGTATCCAATATTTTCATAGATGCCCATGTGCACAGCAGTGCTTTCTGAGCTATGCAGTACATTAACAGCACAATCCATCACAGAAAGCCACTGCCCTGTTACCTACTGCACACACCCACACACCTCAAACGTCAGAAAAGCTTCAGGTACAAGCATCAAATTGAAATAATGCATGAAATACCCAAGCCAAAAATCCTACCAACAAGCAGCATGCTGTCTCTTCTTATCCCTCCCCCACACTGTTATCCCTGAGAAGTTAAATCCCAGTTCTTCTCTGCTATAGGTGAAAGTTCCTCAGATACTACATACAATGTGGCAGAATAAAATCCTATTACTGTTGCCCCCTTTTTACAACTATGAGAACAAGTTACCTGCAAATTTACAGATGCAGAAATTTATTCTCACAATATAAATTCACGTATTACTTGTAGCAAAAAAAAAAAAAAAAAAAAAAATTTAAAAAATCAACACATTTCCTGTATCGAAGTTTCTTAAAATTAGGAGGTTTTTGTCTAGTTTTTACTTTTAAGAATGACAGCTGTTCTCCATGAGGTTAAAATGCAATCCAAAGTTTTATGAAAAAACTTCCATTAGTATAATCTTCTCTATTTTCTAGTTCTATCAGATACAAGATTTCCAAAACAACCCAGTTTTCTTCCTAGATGTACTACTGCAATATTTTCTAAACATATACTTAAAAGAGGTGCAAAGACTCAAAGCACAGTTGAAAACTCTTTAACTCTGCTAATTTGCATCAAGTTTTATAGTTCCTATACTCCCTCCTAAATGGAAAACGAATTGTGATAAAACATCAAGCCCAATTAGAAACAGCCACTACACACAACTATTTATTTGAATTTTCCTTTAGAGTATGTATAATTGTTTTTAAAAGAATCCTCCAGTATTTGGCCCAAATCTTGTAATCTTTTCTGCAAGAGAAAAAAAAACCCACACTCCTTCCAGTTTCACAACTCATTCACTAAGTACTTCACTGAATTAAAATCCTAATGTATGTAAAAATAAAGCTTTCAAATTTAACTTATTTTAATAAAATGCTAAAAAACCATTACAGCAGCTTGAGTTCTGCTTTCAGGATACATTTGCAATTTTCTTCAGGTTTCAGTATTAGCTTGCACATTAGAAAGCCCAAGTTGGGCACCTACTGATCAAATGCCATTGAAGCTTCAGCACCTGAACTAGAGCTCAGATTTTTGGAGCTTGATCCCACTGATGTCACTTTCGCCAGATTTCTGAAATTTTGCTTTGTTTGGGGATGTAATCTGTGACCTTTAGATTTCCTTTTACATTTAAGGTCCAAAAAATCCAACAGACCTGGAAAAAGTTGGAGAACAAAGTGGGCAAGATTCAGAAAACAGAGAAGTGACTTAAAGAAATATATTTTGCCTGCACCTGTGGACAGCTGGCAGCTGTGCCAGCCAGGGCAGGAGATGAGCTCAGTCTCTGTGGTAGCACTAAGAGGGTGCAAGCATGGAGGAGAGGTCAGGTCCCTGCAGGTAGGTTGCCATCCCATTCCTGGCATATTCAGGTTATATTTTCCTCCATAAACATGCTTGCTGGAAAAGTGAGCAGGGCAGCAAAAGCAGCAGGGAAATAATTTTCATTCGGTTTTACTTAAGAGCAAACCCTGCCTGACCTTTAGCTGTCCTTATGCTGCTTTAACCTACTCTCCACAGTCTCCCTGGCAGCCCTGCCCTCTGGCAGAGGGGACCCAGGGTGTTTTCAGGGGTACATCAGCACACATCACGGTTTTGGAAACATCTGGCCTGGCACAGAGCTGCAGGAGGATGGCTGGCCCCAGCCAAGGCCACCACAGCTGTGAGCAAGGACAGAGGACTCCTCCCTAGAAACATGAGGAAGGGGGGGTTATGCCAGCATGAATGCATCCTATAAATACATGAAGTAGAAAACATGAAAATACAGCAAAAAAAGAAATATTTTCAACTAACCCTATGGATTTCTGAGATATCACCCAATCTTTAGCTGTTCCTTTGTTTTACAACAACTAATTCCTCTGAGTAACTGCAACTAAATTGAACTTAAGGTGCTTCTGCAAAAGCAATATTTGCAAATTGCAAAGCCACTTAAAAAAACCAGTGTCATTTCATCTCCAGCAGTAAGTGCTGCTTACTGTTTCTTATACCAGAGCAAAATATCTGCTGTAACATCCCTTTGTGATGATGTCTGCTCTTGTCTAAGGACCTGACACCAAAGCCAGGTGTGAATCAGTGACTATTACATGGTCTCCTCTAAAAGCTTCTCTATGTTTTGTCCACATACTATCTAAAACTAAATGAGAAATTCTTCTCATTCAATTAAAAAAAAAATGTTATTTTATCCTCTGGTCCACTGTGGTTTTCTCCACAGTGTTTGTGTGGGACTCAGGATTAAAAGAAGTTTTTACCATACAACACTTCACTTTACTGTAAGAGAATACAAAACAGATTACCAAAAGTCAAAATTCATATTTTACTTCAAAAATACAACTCCCCCCATAAAAAAGTTCCCCAAACAAATTAATTTTTCTACATTCTAGCTTCAATCACCAGAAGTTAATGAATCATGCAAAGTGATACTGCACATAGAAATGTAGCAGATCTCTTCATCAAGAAAAATCATACAAGATCCTTGCATTCGAGTCTAAAATACATGTGTGGGAC